GCAGACGACTTCGGACTAGGTGCGTTCTACATGGTCGCCTTGACAACAAGACCAAGTTGCGACAACGAGGCCAACCCACTTCTAAAAAGTTAAAGAGTTGAATCAAGTCCAACAAAACTTTGAAGTGTGGATACTTTAACCACAGGTGCGGATGCCAACACTACCCATGAGGGTCCGGATAAGCATTTGATGAAGCAGTCTCTGTGTTTGTATGAACGTATGCAACATAGATCAATCGCAGGTATGAATTCCAAGATGGTGTAGACATTGTTTTAGACACGGTCTACTTTCGTCGCATAGACGAGGTTTAAAACCAGTTCTCACTACTCGGTCGTGTTGTCAGGGCGACCAAGGATAAACAGACTTTGTCCGACATCATCTACCAGGGTGGTCATGATGATTTCCCGCATCGGACCGTAGACTTGGAGCATTCCCAGACATTTCGCCGGTAGCGTCAGTGTGCCTTGCCAGCCTTAGCACCAAACTACGATGAGTCAGACGCAAATGAAGTTTATCCGTCTGTGGAACAATTGTCCTGGTACATTTAGCCATTCCAAATCTACATGTCGCCCCCTTGACTATAGCTACTTCATACTTGCTTGTCTTGACTTAGTCTAGAAACGGGCCCTTTTTAGCGGATTTTGTGAGGCCCGACTGGTTCCCTCATTACCCCCCCTCCCCCACCCCCACTGTGCGAGAGACGTTGATGTAACTTGGTCCTTTAAGGTTGCAATCTGCACTCGGTAGCTATTCCAGCCTTATTGAGCAGGCTCCAAAAGCCCGAATTCTCAAGCTGGATGAACAACTAACTTAGCACTGCAGTTTGCAGCAATTCAGTTTAGACGGTACAGCGAGTGAATCTGGTGATCAGGCTCATACTTTCGGACCAAGTCTACAAGCAAACCCACGTTCTGTGGGCCAACTGTCTTTGGTCTTTGCCGAATCTTTCGCGATTCTACCCATAACATAAAGTCTATGAACATCCCTATCCCCTAGGCCCTTGTGTGTCAACAAGTCAAATGTTGTAGCTGTTTACGTGGCTTGACTAGGCTCAGTTAAAACGTCTTCTC